ACACACACACACATACACACACACACACACACACATACACACACACACACACACACACACACACACACACACACACACACACACACACATACACATCCTGTTTTCACTAAATGAAGCAGACAGATAATATTAACGTGTAACCAGTATTCTTGTCTGTCGCCGTTACCACGGTGATTCAGCAATCCTAGCGGACTGGCCCCAACCCAGCATTATTCACATTATTAATTTTCGTCCGTTTTTAATTAATCCGTTTACAGGTGAATGCGTATTTCGTAAAGATGCACTGACAGATATTTGCGAATTAATAACGGGTGACGCGGAGCTGCACACGATGTTCAGAGGTAAGCAGTTATAATACACCACATGCATACTATCAAGAGCTAATAAATACCTGGTATTATGGTACCATGGAATAAATAATAGGTGTTTATTAGCTCTTGATACTATACCGACAGGGTGCATGATATATACCTACCACACCGCGTGGACAATAAGTGAAAATACGTGTTTGTGTTATGCATAGAAGCTTGACATGTGATTTCTGATGCTAGGATCAGATTCAGAAGGGTCAAAAACATATGAATCGATGTCAATATCACGAAAATTTGCCTACTCAGTCAAAAGATATTGCGAAAAGTGTAAAATAATGGCGTCATCCAATGGCAGCCATTTTGAAAAATGGCCGCCATTTTGAATTTTTACGTGGCTAACGTTCTTTTTTAAATTAGTGGCCTATCCGTGAAACACACGCAACATTTGATGCTTGTATGACAATCTGAATGATTTTTCACCTAATCTGCCCAACTACAATGCATGAGGCCCGTTCGCACAATATTCGGAGACGCCAAACACAAGCACTGTCATGTTTAAGAGAAGGAAATATCGTAGCGATCGACAAAACTAATACAATAGTGGAGAGTGCGGGCGACCATTCTCGAGCAACACTTTCTGACGAGCTGAACTCACGCGCAAAACATTAATTTCGTTTTCATTCTTAGAAAGCGATGAATGGGAGTCAAGTAATATGACAGCATGGACGCATTCATGTAAGCGCATGCGCGCGTAGGAATTGCGATCGCAATCGAGTCATTTTGGAAAGTTACAATAAACTGCTCGGTTAACGCGAATGCTGATTTATGCTTGCAGTTGATGGAGAGAGAGTGGCCTGCCCGCTAGAAGGACCGTTTCGATTCTCCTATGACAATGGCTTCGGTGCGTGTGCCGACCCCATGTCGCACATAGACAAATGCGCAGACGATAGCAAACTGAAGCTGAGCTATCAAGCTTGCGCCGATATCCACCAGTCGGAACATAAAAGTACGCTGCGCTAACGTTTACTGTGTTTCGATGTGTTTTACTCATACGATAATCGTCGCAGTTAGCTGTAACCAGGTTGGTAATCGCATTGGTCGTGGTTCGAATGGTCTCCGTATTTGCCAGATAAATACCTTTTTGCATGGCGATATAACGGTGTGCTAGTGGAAGTGTACAAATGAAAAAAGCATTTTTTTGCTCGTGAGCTGATTGCATATCGCATTGCACATATCAGGCATCAAATCTAGATGCGCAAAGTGCCGCATAACTATTTAAGAACTGACTGAATAACGCGCGTATCGTGTACCAAAGGTATTCACGAACAATACCACAAACCTATTTCATAGCTTATTGCATATTTCATATATCAGACATCAACTTGATTTGATAACATACTGCAAAACTACGGGTATTGCCACACACGACATCATATTACGACGTGCACTATTTCGAGACCGTTTATACCTTTTTGATATGAGGGATAGACCATTATTGATTTTTACGGGTATAAATCTGCATGCCCTTGTGGCTGTCAGTCGCAGTTATATGTTGATTGAAGAGAGGCGCAATCGTCGGGGACAGACCGCGTTTTCTAGCCATCGCGCGCTCTTGTTCTATAGGTGAGCAGTTAGAATGTCTCGCAACGTGGCAAGAAGGATCGAGGAATTACCTAGTCGGACGACGCAGCAGCAGAAACATTCTGACGGACGAGGAGAGCTTTCGCTGCTTCGTAAGTTTGACATTGCACATCATTCTTCATTTTTCCTATGCCTCTGTATATAATATTCTGAACTTTACTAGAGTATCTATAACAGTCTTTGTTGGGACAGATGACATTATAATTCAGTTCATGGGTTTCACGAGTAGTTGGTGAAGCATTTCTTGCCAGGTGCATAATTTCTTGTCGTGCGGGAAAATCGTCGAAATTAAGGTAGAGTATTTTAGGCCTGTATAGGCTCTTCCTGTGCACACATCTGGTAAGGCTACTGTGTACATACGTAGTCGTGGTTCTACTGATTGAAATTTCTGCTGACAAGTGGGGGAGCACGCGTGCGTCCGTGCGTGTATGTGCGAACGTGCACGTACGTACGTGTGTGTAAGTGTCTGGGCAATTGTGGCCTTTGTGACAATTGTGGCAATAGTGGCAAATTTGGCCTTTATGTGTCTGTCTCCGCGCGCGTTTCGTGCCCATCTATTAACCACACACGTACGAAATAAAACTACTAAAACATATAGCCCCCTTGCGGCACATTCTACCTTTACGCGTGTGTTTTACAGATAACGCGATTAGCGGGTAGCGGCCGAGTTTCGCATATCCCCAGCACCATAAATACAGTCGCAACGCCGTTTTATTTTTTTGTTGAAATCGTAAAATTTGCGAGTGTGCAGTGCGGCAGAGCCAGCGCGTGATCTCTAAAACATTAGATATAATTTCCACGTGAGCACGCATTGGGCGTAATGCGTTATCGTTAATGGTAATCATACCGGCAGCATAAACGCTCGCATTATTCATAGAAAACAGTCGCGAATAAATATGTTGGCGCGTTTCGTTGACATTTTCGTATTTTTCGCATATTCGCGCAAAGGAATCGAATCACAAAGAAGAACGTAGCCGTTGACACCGTGTGTGGGGAAGCTCGCAATAGAAGAGCATGGCTTGCTGAGAGATATAGATCGCTGACGCACCCGAGCAGTAAATCGTTTGAGTTTAAGACTGTGTATGGCAACGAAATTTCTACAAAAACATGCCGCGTTGGCGTTGCCGCACACGCGCGGATATGACTTCAAACAAATGGCATCGTATAGAGCTAATAAAATTGACTTCCGAGTGAAAAGGGCGGATACGTGTTCCATTTTGCTCGCGTATGGATGCAAGCTCGGTGCGGCCGCGTGACAAGTGGTGTCCGTGTGTGCGGGGGCTTGTAATAACCGAATAAAATCGATCATTGGAGTATAATGCGAGTTCGCGTCGGTGCGGAAAACACATGTATGTACGCGTACCTTGTGCAACAGTACTAGCAATCTCGACCAATCGTAGTCGTCTCTCTCTCTCTCTCTCACTATATATATGATTGCGTATGCGTGCGCATGTACGTGTGTGCGTGCGTGTGTGCGTGCGTGCGTCCCTGTGTGCGTGCGTGCGAGCGTGTGCGTGTGTGTAGGCGGTTCAAGTGTGTAAGTCTTAAAACGTGGAGCCCACAGCAAAAGATCGTTGCGAAAAGATTATCCAGGATAAAATGCGATGCCGAGTCTTAAATTTCGGTCGACAACTGAATTCGGTCTGCGCGCGCGAAAAATTAAATTGTGGGCGTTTCGTAATTTCGAACACGAGCATGACAGGACAGCGTTTACTATGCCGATGCTGGGTATTTGTTTGCAATCACAGTTATGTTTGTCACTAGGCAGTTGCTCATGTTCAAGGACGACGCCCTCTCTCTGTTTGAATGCCAAGTGATCACGCGTGCTAAGCGGCATTTAGAAAGCGCTTTCAGCGCAACATTTGCAACTTGTTGCTATGCCAATTTATGTTGGTCATCTGCCAGGGCCAAGGTAGTGTTTGGGAGAGAAAATACGTTTAAAAGTTATGCATACGTTCTAAATAGCATAGCATGATGCGATAATTCATGTTTATGGGAGACTTTCGTGTGAACTGTTTAATGCGTAGATGTGTTTTCCCCTGTACTGTACATGTACCGTATGAGTAATGTCGAGTGTAGCCCTGCTCCTTGATGCGTTGTAGATGTTTCGTTTAAGCAATGTCAAATGCCTCCTGGTTTTTCCTGTATTGTATAGATACCGTATATCTAGTGTAAGCATATTTTTTCTGTATTGTCGATGTACCGTGTACGCGCAGTATGATAACTAACTACGTACTGTCATTTATTTTTCCGCATTGTTGTGTAATTTGTTTTAGATGTACCGTTCCACCGAAAAGGGTTTTGCCGTGGCGCAGTCCGCCGACGCCAAGTGCCGTGGCCTAGAATCATCGTCGTACAGCCTAGAGCTACAGACACGTACGTTTACGTTTCATTTAATAATCTTTAAATGTGTCCATTACTTTCAGCGCCTCCGCTCGTTTGCGAGTCCCGAATGTCGGTGAAATCGCAGTCAGTGAAATCCACCCCTTATTCCGGGGGCATTTCGCTGCAACTTGTAGTGTAAATGGACCTAGTGTGCGAAAGGTATATAGGCGTAATAGAGCGCAGTATAGTCGCGTTTACTTCACATATGAGATTTTGTGGCAATAGACAAGTCTCGTATACGCCCGTGAAATACCTCGCCACGCCTGTGTATTATAGAACAGTTGCTCCATTTCAAAAAGCGAGCAAGGTAGGGGAGAGAGTTGGGAGAGAGGAGGGTAGTATTTAGGTAGGTCGGTAGATAAGTATATATATATGTACGTTTCTAGTATATATATATATATACGTATCCACATACGTATCCACTCCAATGAACGGGTGTTTGATTGATGCAATGGACATAGGCGGAAGTCAATAAGTGCACATTAGGAGGAAAGGAGAAATGTTCCCGGTCAGTGCGTGTATGGTAGCGACAGTTAGCGTTAGATGCAAGTCGGTATTGTTAAATTAAGAAAGTGACAAATGGACAGAAGATATCTGCGGTATAACCATAGAAGTATAATCATTTCATTTTCATAAAGTTAATTAAAGATGCCTTCCCACGAAATTTCAAGCGGCAAACACAAAATCAGGCAAAAATGAATAATTTTAACATTGCACGTTTGTACTTGCCTATATATGTGTGATAGGTAAAAAAATTGCTCGGGAATACGTTCATTCAAAGCTTTTAGACTACAAAGTGAAAGTGTCGGGTCGAATGTTTCAAACAGCGTTTACTTTTGCCGCTCTGCGGCGATGTTGTGACGTATTACGTCGTCATCAATCAATGAGCCTTTACTCAGAACCGCCGTTATACAGAACCACGGCGAAAAGCGTTTTTCGAGTTGTGATTTCGTTGAGCAAATATAGGCGTGATACGTATTTTTACAGATTTATTTTCAAAGCTAACGTTCAGTTAAAGTGTAGTGAGTTATTTACTTACGTTTTGACAGTGGGTTGTTACAAAAATGTGCGTGGGAAGACATCTTTAAGTGACAGAGACATTGTTATGGAATTATCGGGATTAATAACAAATATATTTAAGGTACTAGCTAAAGTATAAATTCATTGACGACAAGATTTTTGGCTTTTTTGTCTGGTACTAGAACATATGCATGCGTGTACCAACGCGTAACAGTGCTACATAAAGCATGTCATAGGTGCAGGTTGATGTTGTTAAATAAAAGTCTAGGTGTCTATCTACGTCGTGTATATACGTCTTGATTTGGGCTTACCCATCCAATAACCCATTTTATGAAGGTAGTAATGGTGTGTGGGGAATAAACGCGTGCTTCCATGCAGAACGGCCCTACGAACGTGTAATATAGACAAGTAAGTTAACAATGTCATCCATTATCTTTGATATATTACTTATTTCCGAAAGTTCGTGAACGTTTCGCTCCGAGAACCACACTAAACTCTGAAAATCATAGCCAAGTATAACTGCCTGTGACGGAAACGACCCGGTTCAATGATCCATAACTGAGATCATACGCGTCACAAAGACGGCCCTATAAACTTATAATATAGATAAGTAACATTTCATTCATTATCATTTACAACTGCGGGGCATACTGCGCTCGTAAAATTGTTAGGCGTGCCTACACTTATAGGGTTGTATATATATTTAAATTAGGGTTGTAGGTGAAATCCTATCAAACTTTCAGTAACTATTTCATTTGATATATGACGTCTCTGGGCAGGTATGTATGTGTCGCTTATTATGTATGTGGTATATTATTATAGAAATATATCTCTATATTACACACTTCTGTATATATATATATATATATATATATATATATATATATATATATTAATTCATAGATAAATACAGATAGATTCAAATTTGTTGCACACATTGGATTTTATAGGTGATATTGTTGCAGACATGGAGCTTTTGCCAAGTAGTAATTAGTGTGATCTTCTGTGACGAAAGCTAGAATTAATCAGGTCAGGCAGCGGTACAGTGATATTGTCTTCGGCTCTTGTTTTGCAAAACATGGAAAAATAATGCTCTTATAGAACGCAACACGCGATATCTTGCGGTTTCATAAATTTAATGAACCGTTTCGAGAGTTTTCTCCGCAGGTAATAATGGCGTATTATTGCACGTCACACCGATTTCCCAGGTCGTGCTAAGAAATACACTTTTCGAAAAAATGTTTATACCGGCCCCGCAAGGAAAAATGTTATTTTGTATATATTAGATGCGCTAGATGGCGTCAATATTGTATAGACGCCTTGTAGAGGATTGTGCGCCATGAGTAGCTGTGCGAATTTTCAGCTTCTCGAGCGCGATATTATGGCTAAACACTATCGAATATTGATCATGAAACTGATAAGCGTGCGAACAAAGATGCGCCGATACACGGCATTCACTATCGGTCACATTAAGATGTGATGTGTCAGCGACTGGAGTTATTACGTGTGGCAATAAGTAGACGTGCATGCTGTAGAAACGCAGCTCTGACGACCATTATGCGAGCGAATGCTAACGAATTTCTATTTACACGTTCTTACTAAAACTTGACGGATGCGTAAACACTCGAAAGCATGCGAAACTAAATAAGAATAATGAAGATAATAATAATAATAATAATAATAATAATAATAATAATAGTAATAATAATAATAATAATAATTAGAAAAATTCTGGATTTAATCTCTATGTCCCAGGTTGGAACACGGCCAACCCAGAAGTCACCGGCTAATGACCTGATCCACGATCCATGATCCAATAATAATAATAACAATAATAATCATAATAACGCGCGTACCTTGAAGGTTTTCGCGCGCGCGCGCGCGCGCGCGTGTGTGTGTGTGTGTGTGTGTGTGTGTGTGTGTGTGTGTGTGTGTGTGGTGTGTGTGTGGTGCGTGCGTGCGCGTGCGGTGCGTGCGTGCGTGCGCGTATGTTGTGTTGTGTTGTGTGTGTGTGTGTGTGTGTGTGTGTGTGTGGTGTTTTTGTGTGTGTGTGTGTGTGTGTGTGTGTGTGTGTGTGCGTGTGTGCGTGTGTGTGCGTGTGTCTGTGTGTCGGCACGCTAGCGAAACGTGCGTCGACGATACTTATCTGGCCGTCTCGTTTGACAGGAAGCTACCCGCCAGCTGCCTGTTTTCTTCCGTCGTGGATGACGGCGTTTGGCGAGTGGCAGACGCTAGACGGTCGCCATGGCTACCAGCTCAACGAGAATCGACTCAGTGGGTTCAGAAAGCTCATTGTGCGCAACGGCAGAGTGCTGCACGCCGACAGCTGTTTAGAGATACGAAATGAGACGAACGCTGGCGCGATCTTACTCTCGTTCACGCTAGAAGGCTGGTGAGTGCCGCGCGAGCAAAGCAAGCGACATCTCGCTGTCTTGAATATGTTGACGATAGAATTTGAGCTTTGGTATAAATACTCTTTAAGATTTCCTTTGTTAATATATTTTATAACTGAACTTTGGCAAAAAAACTCATGCGCCTTCAAACAGCCGCTTATTCATCAAAGGTTGAACGCCGCGGCGGGAATATGGCATTGCCGGTCGAGCAAACTAATTTTCATTACATATTGTTACCATTACCGTTTGATAGTACACAACGCTATAGAACGTTTCCGAGAAGTTGAACTCACTATTAGCATAATAGTTTACCGAATAATTAACATTCGCCGTACGTGACGACTTACAATATATGCAATACGCGCGCGTGAGCCCGTTAGAGCGCACTCGGCCGTGTGTGCACAGCCGTAGCTGCATCGTAACAGCGGCCCTGCAGCGATTGCAGCGCAATCGTGAATATACCATATACATCAGAAGTAGATAATAGGGAACAATATATAATAATTCAATTATTTAAATATTAATTATACAATATAGGGAATAATTCCCTATTATCTACTTCTGATATACATACTGCAAGCCGGTGCGCAGAGCCCGCCCGTCTGCCTGCCGTATAGCCGCGTGTTGAAACTATGCGCGCCGTATACAGCCTTTGAAAAGAAACTAATGCCGATCAACGTCACATCGCGACTGTATCGTATCTGTATCGATGCGACGCGATGCAGCCGCATACGTGTACGTGGCGGATAGCTCGCCGCGGAGTCTTACACATACATGCTCATGACGCTAACAAAGCGCATTACCCGACTGCACGCACGCCGCTAAATGTTTAGAAGTAAAACTGTATATGCGCGGGGATCGATACTGAAGGCCGACTGGTCGAAAACGTGTGGCGCCACATGCCAACATTTACCGATATCGTGACGAGAATAATTTTCCTCGTTGCTTGCGTTCGAGCACGATACGCAAGAATACAATGCCATTTTAATTCATCGCTTATATTCGTTTTTTTTATGCACGAAACGGCTGATCTTTCAAATTATTCTCAATTCAAATTTCAAATATCTTATATCATCTGAAATTTACGCTATAAATACTCGGGAACAACGCGTAGAGCGGCATTTCTGTGGTCGCTACCCTCTTTTTCTATCCTGATTCTATCCCAGTTCTTCGAAGTTTGTCTAGATGATCCATCCTGTGTTCGCATGCACCTGCCAATGTCGTTTGTAATGCCCATATGCCCGACATCTTAATCGCGTACGTAATTAACGGTTCATTAGCAGACTGTTATCGCGTTGTTCGTTCTGTGCGTGATTGGATCATTACGCGGTTCGTGAAAAGCAGTGAAGACTACGCTGACATGGAAGATAGGGCAAGCTCGTCACGTCACACCTTAAAGGATTTATTTCGGAATCATTGATCAAAAACGGACAATCTAAAAATATATAGCGGAATATAATCGTACCTAATAGCGGATATATTACTGACTGCACCAACTTGAAAAACACTTGAATAAGAATTATTGATGCTGTTGTAGCATAGAAAATTGGAGTTGAACACGTATGCCATGACACAATATGATCGCCTCTTGATGACAAGATTAGAAATGCATAGATTAAAAATCGACTTAGTGGATTTTGGCTTCGGGGTACCATGATTATTGATAACAAACACATTACTCGTCAAGTATAGTCATGGGTGTTCTTGTATGCGTACGCACGTGCGTATATGTGTACGTAAGGAATAACTGTGCTATACACTCGCGTGCGTGCCTGCGTTACATCGTGTTGTGTTTTCTTCAATAACCATTATTCATACTACCGCGCGCTTGATTAATGATAAAACATAAATCGCGTGCTTCGAGTTTATTGGGGACGTTAAAGATGCTCTCAACCCTCACGGGGGTTTTGCTCTAATAAAGATTAAACGTTTATTGACGAATGAATCGAATCAATCACTTGTTTTATTTATAGAGGAGATATATCTCTATGCTCAAGGCAAAAAATTTCATGAAATTTCCAGCACCTAATTATGTTACCACACAAATTTTGAATTTTTATGTAAAAATGGTATTTGGGATATTTCGCAATTACCAGAAAGAGTGAGGATACGAAAATTTCGCCACATGTTAAGCACAATATGTACCAAAATAGTGCATCAGGATTTTTCTTTAAATTTCATATTTACCGAGAAAAATTAAAAAACTGCCTAAAATTCAAGTCGCACGTTTGAATTTAAAATTTTTGCGAATAAAGAGATAACTCATAAAATACGGCACTTAATAACAATCCCTGACGCACTTTTTTACAGCAATATGTTACCATTAAAATGAGTGTAAAATTAAATTATTCCGAGTTGTAATCACAGAGAAATTTATACATCGACTACTAAGTCAGAAATTGGAACGGAGAAATCAGCGTTTTTCTGACGTCAGCCGCGGCTCACTACACATGTACGCGGGCAAGCAAAACGCTCTGACAGTTCACATGTACCGTTATATGGAGAAATGAGCATGTACACAAGTGGCACATAGTGTTAGCCATCGAATAAAGTTGAAAATGAAAAATCGGTAAAATTTTTCTTAAAACCTTGACAGTATCCTTAACGCATAACACTAGCTAAGATGAGCGCAGCGCCCTCTATTGCACTCACATTAATCAATTGACAAAATAATTCACAAAACGTTGATACATGTATATATTATACATGTATAAATCGATATGTTTGCCATCTTACGTATCAGTTAAACAAATGTCATGTTATATTATCATCTAAGTACCACCCAAGGACATACATCAGTTGAATCACAGATAGGCTATACGAAATGTGCGGTAGGATACAAAGAGTTGTTCTTATCTGGATAATCTGCCATTTTGATGCCCTCGAAGCTGTGGATACGGGGTGGATACTGCCATTTAGTCCGTTTAAATGCCCCATCAGCAATTATCCAATGCGCGCGCGCGCACACACACACACACACACACACACACACACACACACACACACACACACACATGCATGCACACACACAAGCACGCACACACGCACACACGCACGCACGCACGCACGAACGCACGCACACACGCACACACGCACAGATGCACACACACACACACACACACACACACACACACACACACGCACGCACGCACGCACGCACGCACGCACGCACGCACGCACGCACGCACGCGCGCGCGCTGTTACGGCTGCTACTAATGTTGTTGTTGATGTTGTTCTTCTTGTTGTTGTTGCTACTGCTGCTGCTGGTGGTACTGATGCTGATGTTGATATCGACGTTGCTGCTGATGATGCTAATGCTGCTCCGCACTTTACCGTTCACTTAGGAATTATTAAAAATTAACACTGATTACGTATTAATTAATAAACACTGCATGCTCGATCGTGACGGTTAAGTAGACGGCTATGCGCGAAGGTTTAAGAGGAGGCGGCCGTGCGTGGGAACGCGCCCACATGATGAGTTCACCCGCAGGCAAACAAAAACAAACTTGGTCTAACAGCAATAAGGACGACAGTTTTATAAATATTCATAATTGTTCCCGTAGAGTGTCGACGCGTAATCTTGTGACGTCCTTGCATCCGGCTATCTACGTTTTCCATATATAGGCCTACTCGTATTAACTATTCACCGGCGGCACCGGTTGCTGTTTTATATAGTATTTCCACGATGTAAATAGTACTCGGTACATATTACGTGGCGTGCTGCGTGCACTAGACGTGTACACAAGATGTGTAGCAATGGCGGATACAATCACCGTTGCAAGTGCCACTAGATAACTCCGTAGTGATTATTTATTAATAAATATAAATCTATTTGATTGCGGTTGCGTTTGATCATGAGTAGGTGTATGGATGCATGATAGGAGTCGTGGTTGCAAAACTGCATTCTATCGTAAGAATCGTTTACCGAGGAGATTTCATGCAATCATAAGTTGGTTCATTTCTTCATTATTTGTTCTCCTATTATCTACTCTTGATAATACGTTACTGTCTCAGACTGTCGGAGCACCTAACATATTATAAGAGTTCACTTAACGTTCCTTAATAAAAATTTATCTTTATGACTGCATTTGCTAAAAAGTTCGTTCCTCTTGTTCAGTGTCGCGGTCACAATTTTGCACAATATTTGTGTAGAACTTCTCTGTCAAGCATAAGTTGCATTTCTTCATAGTGTTTGACTAGTGTGGCGCTTTGCTTAGTATCTTCCATTTGATCGCGTAGTCTAGGTTGTTGTCTTTCAAGTTCCAAATATGTTTACTAAGTTCTGTCGAGTCCGACGTATGTTTCCGCCTTGTTTCTGTTGCTTTATATACTATGTCTTTAGCAAGGCAGTTTCCATCCAGGGGGCACGTTACGTTTTTCGGGCATATATATATTTATATATATGTTATATATATATATATTCATAATATCTGCATAGGATCTGCCGGAACGAAAATCCCCGGCACGTTAATGTGCAAGCTTATGGCATTATTAAAAGCAGAAACGAACGGAAATAAAATACACGTGGTTGTTAGAAAACATCAGAGTTACAGGATACAACAATTGCACACATCAGTAAATAGCTTCGTGACTAGTCAATTTATTTATGAGCGCAAATCGTGTTCATATATTTAACCGTAACTTTATATATTTATGTATGAAGTCTGGATATGGCGATATGCCGTCGCGTAGCATTGCGTTGTGTTCGTACCACTTTTAAGTATTGGAGACAGTGCTGTAAATGTTACAGCTTTTATCATAAATGTGGCACTTTTACGATTTTGGCCATCATAATCGATAATGGCTGTTCTCCTGTTTTTTTTCAGCCGCAATGGTTATATGTGTCACAAGATTTATAACCGCGCCCATCAAATCTTGGAAATTGAATCAGGCAAGTATAGTTTGATAACGCTATACGCCACATAACATCACATAACGTCATAACGTTCGCGTATATATGCAAGTACACCTATTTGCAATAAATCTGAATAGTTTTCTATTAGTTTATGTCATTCTATATTCTCAATGCAAGATGTACCTAATCACACACGAGTACAGGTAGTTACATCAACGAAATATGCACGCACTGATTATCCAATCATCGTCAGATTCATTCAAAGTATGATAAAATTAAAAAAATGTATATGTAACATGCGCAAAAATGTAGTCATGATATTTATTTGTTAATATAGGTTTATTAACAGCGGATAAGGCAGACGCTTGTGACGAAAGTAGCTTTACAAACTCACATTTAGAGACATTATTACCAGGTATGTAAGCATAGTAATATATTTCATACGCACCTGTCCCCGTGATAAAATATTGTTTAAGTTAATTATAAATATGATTTTGTGAAATGTTATTACTTACTATTCAATGATATGAATGTTTTGACATTTGCACGACGAGCATGTGAATTACAGAGTGTAAATAATTAGCCAATTACATCTCGTTACCAAGTAGGGCCTACGACGACTATATTGTCCTAACATTTTCTTATGGTCATCAATTTCATATTTAAATTCATTCTGAATCAATCAAACAACCGTCGACAACGGAATATATCTGTAACTTAATAGCAATCGCTACGCAAACACCGAACTAGAGGGCAAATCTAGAAATTTACGTTTTAATCGTTTTACGGGCTTGAATCGCGATTCTCGGCCTTTCCACGTTTGTCTAATAAAACAGCAGCTCGGCAAATTCGTCGGACGATGTCTCTCGATATATTTTGGCGGTGTGCATTTTTAGTGTCTAGTCTGGCTGATAGCGAGTGCCCGCATCGCGGGAGGTACGCCCTGTCCTCGATGAGAGACGAGGTGAACTGCGAAGATGCTGAGTCTACGTTGGATTTCGGGTGCCTCGATGGACACACCATCACCATTAAACAGGCATGCGACAGCAAGAGACCCGATCGCTCATTGTCGAACCCTCTAATACAAGGTTCGTGATCCTCCAGCGACGTGTACACTGTCTTTATTCGTGTGCATTATAAAAAAAAATATAGATAATTATCAAGAGTACATAATGGATCTCTATTATGTACTCTTGATAACTATCTTTCTATCTATCTATCTAGCGATCTATCTATATTATTTCTATGTTGTACATATAAGTGTAGTTACCTAGTATCCCGTCGTATGCGGCATTTAAATTTTGGCGACGTTGAAATTACGGATGATGAAACGAAATATACCTTCAGCGAGGTGCGTGCTATTTTCTCCAACTGGATACACAGTGGGGCCTAGGTGTTGTGTGCTGCCGATATAACAGCGATCCAGACTCGCTAACACAGTATTAAAGGAAGGTGATTGTTTTGTGGTTTGTCACGATAATTTGTTGGCAGTCACGCCCTTTTACTTACCCAGCTTATATTATTGATAGATAATCAATGTATATCTGATAGAAGCAGCTGACACCGATATTACCACAAGGCGCTTCTCAAAGATGGCGGAAATGGAAATTCTGCCATCCGCTCGCGCGCGCGTGTGTGTGTGTGCTTGCGTGAGTGCGCGCGCGCGTGTGTGTGTGTATGTGTGCGTGCGTGCGTGAGTGTGTGTGTGATCGTGGAAACAGAAATGATAATAATATACCTTAATTACTGCGTATTATTCGATTAAATATTTTATAATTTAACAACAGGACCGACTCGAATATCGACGCGTTTCCATTTTATTTGCAGAAAAGTATAGCTGTCACGGACACTGGAAAGACGGCGCCGGGACATATTACTTGATAGCGAGCGATAAAACCGGAAAAGCTAGTTGTTTTGTAAGCACGGCACCTAATCTCTTGTCAATTAGTACGGATACGCGCAAGCGAGAGTGGGTGTTATTAAAATTTGCGGATTTTGGTTCCGCGCTTGTGAATTAGAGGCGCGATTACCGAGGGGCTACACATCACCGCGGTGACTACTACTACTACACACAACACGAATGTGTGTGTGTGCGTGCGTGCGTGCGTGCGTGCGTGCGTGCGTGCGTGCCTGTGTGTGTGTGTGTGTGTGTGCGTGCGTGCGTGTGTGTGTGCGTGCGTGCGTGCGTGCGTGCGTGCGTGCCTGTGTGTGTGTGTGTGTGTGTGCGTGCGTGCGTGTGTGTGTGCGTGCGTGCGTGCGTGCGTGCGTGCGTGCCTGTGTGTGTGTGTGTGTGTGTGCGTGCGTGCGTGTGTGTGTGCGTGCGTGCGTGCGTGCGTGCGTGCGTGCCTGTGTGTGTGTGTGTGTGTGCGTGCGTGCGTGTGTGTGTGCGTGCGTGCGTGCGTGCGTGCGTGCG